GTAGTTCCAGGTGCTTGTTAGAACCTTCGAACTAATGCCAAAATAAATATCTTTCATATTGTAAAATAAAATGCTCATTACGAGTTGATGATACTAAAATATCATAATATTATAGGGATGCTAAATATTATTATGTTGATAAAGCAACTACAGTGCAAGTTGTTTGTATACATAATATTGCTGACAGTAAAATATCATAATATTATAAGGATGCTAAATATATTATTATGTTGATAAAGCAACTATATACAGTGCAAGTTGTTATCATAATAAAATATTGATATTAAGGCTATGTTTGGTAAAATTAGCTGATAGCTGATAAGCTAGCTTATAGCTTATATGTAATTTTTGAGCTTATAGCTTATAGCTTATGACTTATAGCTGAAAAGCTAGCTTATATGATAAAAGGTGTTTGGTAAATTAGCTGATAAGCTAGCTGAAATAAAAAAATTCAACTAGCTTATTTGAAAAGCTACCTAAAATAGCTTATGAAATAAGCTCAAGTTTTTTAAAAAAGCTCGTCCTACCAAACGAGACTTATTTTAAACAGGGAACTTATAAGCTAACCAAATAAGCTAAAAGCTAGCTTATTTGGCTTACCAAACATATAAATATAGTAGATAGCGTCAGTCCAAGTTGTTGGTCATATGTAAGAAAATCAAAATGCTGATTCCTATGAATATTTTCTGTCAGTGCAACTTGCCACGACACAACAACATGCACATCATAATTTAAGGAAACTTTATTATTTTTGTTCTTTAAAACATCAAAACAAATTTTGATTTTTATACATGAAATTAGTCAAAACAAATTTTGATTTTTATACATGAAATTAGACATGGCCACGGGCCGAACCCGGCCCATGGCCCGAATCGCGAACCGGCACCGGCCCGGCCCGAACCGACCTCTTAAGGGCCGGTTCGTTGAACCAGGAATCGCAGGGCCGCGATTCGGTCCCGGTTCATACACTCTTTGTTTTTGAGTCGGCGGGTCGGGCCTGGCCGGGCCGGGTCACGTTGCTTTTTTTTTTAATTTTTAAGGGCCATACCGAACCGGAATCGTCTGAGACCCGCCGGCTGGTGAACCGGCGGTTCCGGGCCGGTTCTGTGAACCGGCCCATATGTTTTTACGGGCCGGTTACGGGCCATAATGTTGAGGCCTGCCGACCCGGCGGTCCGGGTCGCGGCCCGGCACCTGGTCATCTCTGCATGAAATGTACAATAATTGTAAAATTAAAAAATATTATAATTATATTAAATTAATATAGTAATTATAAATATATAATATTTTTAATTTGTATATAACCATATTAAATAGTTTATTTATAAAATATAGTTTACAAGTTATGCATAATTGTAGTAAATGTTGATAAGTACTAATTTCTCTCTACTCGGCCCCTCCCCCAAATTTCTCCGCGGCGCTTCCCTCAAATTTTCGGCGAATTTGCCTTCCTCGGTGTCGGATAGTCACGACTAGGGGTCGTCGATGACCGTTTCGACCTCCCTTGACTTAGCGAGCTTCTGATTCTCGGTGGATAGGCCGCGACAGGGGCTCCTGCTCTTGGTTGCGGGTAGGGTTTCAAGCGGCGGCGTACCCAGTCAAAGCTTGGTGGTGGAGTTCTTCCGTTGCCGGCGATTGTCTAATTGGTGATGGTAAGTCCACTGTCTCTCCATTATCTGTGATTGTCGGGATGTCTTCTTCCGGCGGCATGGAACCTCTGGTCGAGGTGTTTGTGGAAATGTCGAGCGGCGCGCGGGTCTATGGGTGGTCGGGACTCCGGCGGCTGCGGCGTATGGGTTGCAGTGGTCGGGGTGAGGGTCGTTTCTCTCGCACAATCCCCGTTTGACTAGTGGTGTTAGGCGGCGAGGGAGATTCTATCGGCCTTGTATAGTGGTGTTAGAAGAGTTCGGGTGGAATCGGTGGGGGTGGACTTGGCTCTCTCGGTTATTGATGGGTCGATTCGGAGACTGGTTCGGGGTTAGGCTTCTTCTACTGTACAGGTTTGATTGTAGTTTCGGTAGAAGACTCTCTGGCCTGGATTTGTCTTGTGTCGATCATTCACTGATAGTTCGGTCTAGCTCGTTCGCTGAGGAAGGGATGTTAGTTTATTTTAGTTTACTAGTGTTCTTGTTTAGTGTTTTCGTTTAGTGTTGTCAGTATCTTGTGTTTTTGGTTTGGACAGTTAGCCACTGTGAGCCCAAATGTCAAACTTATTATCATGTTGGAATCCGACACTCGGGTATTACCCTGTTGGGGTCTTTTTAGTTGTTTTAGTTGTTTGAGTAGTTGGATTAGTTTAGTTGCGAGTTTTTTTATTCTAGCGTTGCTAGTCGGGATTCTAGGTGGTCTTCGACCTGTCCTCCCACTTTTTTAAGTTGTTGGCTGTTGTGTATTCAGCCATTGACTGTGTATTCACACGTTTGTGTTTTTTTATTTATAATATTATTTATCGTTTTGGGTAAAAAGAAAAAAGTTATGCACAATTTTAAATATAAAAAAATTATTAGTATTTTACGATCACGCATAGGCTCGACTAATCCTCGTCTAAGTGCTCTAGGCGTTAGGTCCCAGCCCGCCGCATGTTAGCACGTAGTGCCGCTTAAAACCTTAGAGTAATAATCATTGACTACAACATAGTTTTTTTGCTGTCAATGGAAATAAATTTGACTATAATCTCGGCAAAACTTATACGAGGAGATGGGCAAGCCAAGCCTGCTAGTAGCCAGTATGAAAAACAAAATAAGCATATCAATCGTGATTTTGCAGTCTTCATCTGTTCCGTTTTTATGTTAATTTTTCAATATATGGCAGCAAAAGCATGGAGAAAACATAAGTATAAAGATGCATAAACTGATACCTCCATTATTCATCTCATCAAACAAGACAACAGCTCAAATCTTGTAATTCCACACACCTTATAATTTTCTCATTCACTTGAGCCCTTCAATACTAAACCTTGATAACACAATCGAATTAGAAAATTTTCACCTTTGCTCCTCTATCATTCCAACACTTTCAACCGCCACGAAAATGCATCTGAATTCTGCTCTTCTTTTCTTACAATCTCAACATAACGGTCCAGAGTAAAGGCGTGTTCGTCGATGTTGTTCGTGGACACAGCAGCATCTGTTAATTTCACGGCCGCCATTTGAGACATTTGGAACTTTTCACATGCTCGTTGCAATTTCCTTGCAGTGTCCCCCTCGCCAAGCATCAACAGTGAAATCAACAGAGATTTGATTTCGACTTTTGCGCTTTCGGATAGTGACATTCCCTTCAAGTGCTCTACTAGAGCCATTTCCTCATTGGGGCTGTGTATGATAAGTATTTGTGTTTAACACGTGTTTCAGGATATTACACAAGCAAAAGAACTAGAAAAAAAAATAAAAATAAAAATCAAGATGATATATATTAGTGCATGAATGTGTACCTTCCAGCTCTGATTTTCCCTCTGTTTCGTTGGCGGCCCCTGCCCTTTGTAGTCGTGGTTAGAGTAGAAGAAGCACTTGAGCCTCTTCTTGTTCTGGTTATAAAGTAATAGAAAAAATTTAAACAAAAATTTGAGGAGTCCAAAAACATTCAAACATAAAGTTTTAGCTAAACAGCAATTAGAAGTATTTAAAGACCACGAATGAGGGAAAAATGAAGGATACTCGTGCCTTCTGTTTGGACAGTATAAATAATCATTTTTTTCATGTTCCTTCAAACTAGAACAAATAAGAGACTAGTTTAAAAGGCAAACATCCCTGAGAGCAACAAATGAGAGATACAAACGTAGCAACCCCAGAATAAAATCAACAATGAACTAGAAATGAGCTTTGTATGAGGATTTTTGGGGCGAGGAACTGAAAAATGTGACGAAAACCATTCACTACCCATGCATTCTATAATTCCATTCCTAAATATTACCAAGCACTCTTTAAAGCTTGTTTTAACTGAGCAAAAACAAGCAGATATTCGGAATTTTAGAAAACAAACTACCACAAAACTCACCCAGTGGTGTATGCACTCATCCCACTAAAATCACTGCTAGCTTGTGAAGCAGTCTCATCATCAAGATAAAGATCATCCGACTTAACCGTGGCAGCAAGTAACAATCTTCTCTGCCGAACTGCAAGATACCGAGTCAAGTACTTGCCGACTTTCTCAATCCCCTCATTGTACTCCCCAACAAGGACACCTGCACACTCTACAGAGGCATTCTTCACAAATAAAACCAAATCATCTCTATTGTGCAAAAAAGCAACCCTAAGAGCCTCTTCCCAACTCCTTGCATCGACCAATAGACTAATTCCGCTGTACACATCACCACAGTAATCCAATATTATTTTTGCGGCATCCGCGGGTTTCCCAAGTGCCTGAAGTTCCTCACAAAGCTCACGTGCAAGCTGCAAAAGACCTTCTTTTTCAATCTTAATTAGACCGGCAACTGTCAGTACCCCTTTCCAGTCACCACATGCACGATAAGCCCTTAGTGCTTTTTCCAGACAGGAGCAGGACAGATAAGTGGCAGCAGCATCCTCGAAGCATTTTGTGGAGTTCAGATGATCCCCCCAAGATTCGAGAATTTTCCGTTTTTTATGAGGATCCCCGATCAACTCGAGCCCCAATGGGTAGAGGTCTGGAACTTTCTTCATCAGGCCTGTGCAATATTCATAATATGAATCCCCGGCAGAAACTATATGCCTCAGAGCACTTTCGTGCCTCTGTAACTTAAGATCAATGTTGTACCGCATCAAAAGTGGGGGCATATGTTCCAACTCTTGAAGAAGTGGGAGAAACTCTTTTGGATCCCTTTGTGAATTTAGTGCAACAATGGCAGCGAGATTCAGATCATAAAGGCCCAAAGCGGCCTCGAAAACTGCCTCGGGATCAGATAGCCACAACAGGTGCTTCAATGATTCCTCGGACGAAGGATAAGACGCTCGGCGTTCATCCACAGCTGTGGAGAGCTCCATTTCTCGAATTAATTTTATTCGCCTCAAGGCATCCTCGAGAAGCGGAGGACTACTTTTAGCCAAAGTGGTAAGAATGCAAAGCTCCCGAGCCGGTGTTTCCTTGATTTGCTCCTCGAGAGCCTTCCGAATTGCGGTCAGGACAGAATTTACCTTATTATCCCCATCACTTGCCCGTTCAGTGTGTTTTACAGTGTTGTCAGCCTTAATGCGAGGTAAAGACGTATAATTTTTATACAGTGTCTCCATAACGTCTTCATTTTTTACGGCGCAAACAAACTCAGATATGTAGCTCAAATTGTTAACCTGTCTAACAAAATCTGCAGCCGAGTCGACAAAAGCTTGCCAACCGCAATGGTCAACGATCACATTAAAGTCAATCCGATGCCGCCTCACCATAAGCAAGGCATCTGTAAAGCGCCCTTGAGACAAAGCGTTAAAAATAGAAGTGAGAACTAATTTCCTTGGATACACACATTCAAGATTCCCTCGAGGGGTTTGTAGTATGACAGCAGACTCGTCTCCATGGAGAACACTGACAATGTACGACCCCTTTTCCCATATGTTGATAAAAATGCTCTCATCTTCGCTCTTTCTGTTCTTTGCCACAATGGGAAGGAAGTTCTCATACTTATGTTCAAGTTTCCCCAGCAAAATATCATCAACATCGACAATAAACAATAAATCCTGTTTAGTTGCAACAACCAAATGCGTCACCACCCCATCAGTAGAATTCGAGTAAAATGCAAAACTGCTGCAATTGTTGCAAAGTATTTTTCCATCAAGGTGCAATTTTCCACTCTCATCAAGTCCGAAAAGCAATGGCTTCTGGCCTGTGACCGGGCCAATATCAATCCACGGACAGGATGACAAGAAACCCAAGCCATCACATCTCTGCAGACGTGGTCCTCGGCCCAAACCTGACGTCGACAAGTACTCGAACACTTTTCCACCAGAAAATTCAATGAACACCGAGTGTCCAGTAAGCGGGTTAGGCACTGTAGTAATTCCAACACCCTCAAGATAAACCTCGTGACGAATTTCTGCATGCCATCCTGAAGATGTCACTAAACCAGGAATGCGATCTACTGGGCCCCTTATCTCGATTTCCTGCAGGTAATAGCCTGGACGAGTATCCCCATCAGGAGAGATTCTCTTACTGCCATTACCATGACTAAATCCAGAACAAGAAAGACCAACTAGCACATGTGAATCCAACCAAGCAAGATGCAACAAAGGGCCATAGTTTGTACCAGAATATATTGCATCAATCTTTAACACCTGCCCTTCAAGTTCTTCCCATTGATCAAGAAGAGGAAGCTCCACAATACACAAGCTTCCATCTGATAGAGACGCAGCCAGATGATTTTTGGAAAATTTGGAAGAGAAAGTCACATCCTGAACTACGCTAGGAAATTCTAAGCATAGAAAGAACATTGGAGGAGGAATGAAGGACAAGGAAAATGGGGTTACACGCACTTTAGAGCCATCAACTACAAACGCTGTTGAGTTATCCATTACAGCAGTAACCCAGACAAACTTGTAAGTTACAACACGGCCATTGAGAGTCCAACAAACCAATTGCAATGGTTTTGTCGGATCCCACATAAAGTTCACACCATCCTCCTTTGAATATCTGATCTCTTGCTTTAGATACCAGTGGTTATTACTAAAGTACCATATCTTGAGAGCGTCAGATGTCTTGCCCCTGATGATAGCAGCAAGGAGATCCGAGTTACAGTTGAACTTGAGACACTCTACGGTCACATCTATTCCCTCATTGATACTGAATGAGCTTCTCTCCAGACCATTCTTCTCAAATAATACTACAGATGGGCACTTGTTTTCTTCCTTCCGATCATACACCACAGCGATTTTAGCACCACTTTGGGTCCAGTCCACCACTGGCCCCAAGAAGGGCTTTGGTCCAGAGACAGAGTGGAGGAGCCCTGAATCACGTTCCCAAACTTTAAGCTTCTTATTCAAGGGAGATGAGTCATGCGCTTTGCTTAAAGATGCAAAAAACTTTCCATCGCCTCTCCACGCAACCACAGGGGAATCATCGGAACAAAAGATAGATTCTTCTGAAAGAAAAAATGAAGTGAACTCAAATTTATTAAGCCGCTAAAACAAAAGTCAGCTCTGCTATTCTATTAAATACAAGAGAGTTAAAATTATCTTCTACAGGAATGGTTCCACCCAGTCTAAAAGAAAACAAAATTCATTCACTGTACATAATTGCAAAGTACAACAACAGACCACAGGACCACAGATCATCATCGACAAACTAAAAATAACTGCATCTGCCTAAGTGTGCCAACTCATAAAAGCTTGAAGTTTGCCAGTTTTCATAACTCCTGGTGCTCCGTAAATTTTCTCTTTCTAAGCACGTCTCATTGTTTGTCAGGTAATAGATATCAAACTATTGCAATGTTACAACACCTTACAGTTTTGGACAATGATAACACTTATCTACTTATCTTCTGGTGCTAAAAGTCCTTTAACAAATGAAATCAAGCTCATCTGTATCACTTGATAGCTGAAACAAGTCACATATGTTTAACTCTAAGTAAATCTAAAAGTAATATTATCACACCAAAATTTATTAAAAATTTTAGCTCTTGCTATCTTTACTATGATAATTCATTGTATAAATATAGAGATTACAATCAAAATGCAAACTTAACCTTCTCGCAGAAGCAAACAGGAACATTAGAATTGATCCCTCTATATAAATAACATGAAAGAAACAGTAAGGTGTAACATTCTTGGTTTAGATTAACTTATAAAATGAAGTTTAAGGCTATAAGTCCTTACGTACGTCAACATCTTCAGGTAAGTCCTCAAGCGGTATCTCGTACAACAGATCCCAATCAAGATTCATTACTAGAATCTGTCCAAAACCAGTAACCATAGCAAACAGATCTCCATCAGGACTTGGTGAAATGCACTTGATACCACCTTCCACCCGACCAACAACTTCTGATGCATTATCATCCACGGAATGAAGTAAAAGAAGCCCGCTTGAAGTTCCAATGATTAAGGCTTCCTTTTCCATGAGATAATGCAAACAAGTAATAAAGTCTCCAATTTCCAAATCAATCACCTGAGCAGGAGATGAGCTCTTACTCAAAGCTCCATCAATCTGGTAAGAAACACAGATGACTATCAGAAGAAAGAGCTGCAAAGCAGGCTACATCATGTAACACATTTTCTTATTCTTGCAAAAAGTTTGTAACTTTTTTGCATTTCTAAAGAGATATTTGCATCATGCCCGAGTATTTATCAAGCATTGCGTCTCATTCCATCTTTAGCCAGTAACCATGTTTCATGCTAACACCACCAAGATTCTATTTAGTCAACCTGACATTCAATTATTCAGGTCAATCTTACAGGGGCCCAACAATATCAACAACATAAACAAAGCGAAAAACTCCATTCAACAAACACATTACAAAAATCCTTATCCTACAGTAATTTCATACCCACCAAAAAGAAAGAAAAGGGGTGAAAAAGGTGCAAAACAAGAAGGGGTTGAAGAGAAAAAGACCATAAACTAGTAGACGGTGATGTTTTACTTGAGGTGATGGAAGTTGGGCGACGTATATGAAGTTGGAGGAGGAAGAAAAGAAGAGGCGGTCGCGCTCCATGTCCATGGCGGCCAATCGAATACGTTCGTCTCCATTCTCTCTCTGCAACTGCACCTTGGAGCAAACCTCCGACGACAACTTCAGGTTTCTCATGATGAGCCGCTCCGACACAATCTGTCTTCTCCGTTTGGAGAACTAACCGGCAAAACGGTAGTCAAACGGAGGACCGGCGGGCGCCTGATACAGAGACGTTGGCCGAAGCGAGTGACTGTAAACAGAGTAGGTGTTAGGGTTTGTTTGTAAATGTTTCATATAAAACATGCCCCAATTTCTTTGATTTTTTAAAATTGACCATCCAAAAATAGTTCAACGTATATACGATTGGGTACAGATTTTTTTTTTTTCTTTATGTAAAAANAAAAAAAAAAAAAAAAAAAAAAAAACAATTCAATTTGATACAATGTTTTAACTCAAAATGTAATCGAAATGTATTCAAACATAACTTTACTCAATATTATTATTATAAATAAATATTATCAACTAAGTTTACTACATAATTTTTAACCAACATTATTCACACTCAAATATTTGTAAGTACCAATCATTATTTTATTACTTTTACATCACATCAATTTTAATTATTACACTCAAAATTATATTTAAATTTTCACTCAATCTAATTGGTTCATTTCAACTCACTATGTCAAATAAATAAAATAAAATAAAATAAAAAACTTACTTTCAACATATTTTGGGATTTATTGGGGCAAACTTATAAATTTATAAAATCATTATTTGAATGACATTTTATGACTTCCAACATTTAATTTCTTAAAAAGTTTTGCAATTTAGAGATTTTTTTTTTTTTTTTTGAAAAAAAAGTTAAGTGTAAATGTGAGATTTAGCATCTATTGCATTTTCTCTCTTAGAAATTTGTTTCCCCAAATTGACTAAAACCTATACACTCTCCCAACCTTTTGTCGTCGCCTCCCTTCCGCAAACGCCGGTTTGCTGAAGCGTCGTTTTCACCGGGGCCAGCAAGTCTGTTTACCCCAACGTCCCCTGCAGCCCGCGGCGTTTCTCTGTTCCAGGTGGCCATGGCATGGGTCCCGACGTCGGTTTGGTGGGCTTGAGGTCGCCATCGTCGTCCACTGACTTGGGGGCAGACGACGGTTGAGTTCATCTCGTTTTAAACTCCCGGAGTCATGCCATCTCCGAGAGTTGGGGCTGGTGGTCTAAAGGTGGGGGCTCAGGGCTGCTGGCGTTGGTGGGCGACCGATTGCTCCTGGCCGGTTTGGTGATGGGGGTCTTTTCAGCTGGACCTCGCTGCGGGACTCGGGGTGTTTCTGGCAGGAGGAGGTTTTACTAGTATATCCGGGTTTAGTTATGTCTCTATTGCATTTTCTAGATTTGAATTGAGTCTTTCTGTTTTCCTGTTGGGACCGTTCGTGCGTGTGGCTCGATTGTCTGCTACGATTGTGGAGGGCCTTTTATTGTTTCGTTATTTTGTTCGTCTTAGGTTTTTGTTTGTGTGTCGTTTGCATTGGTTTGTTGTTGTTTTCAGTGGCGGATCCAGAAATTTCAATGAGCTAGGGCAGAAAATAGATGAATTTTTTTTTTTTAACCATATTGTGCAAAATACTTATATTAACAACTAAATAAATCGTTGAAGCAATCGGGTCTTGAGGTGTTCCTTATTCAAATCGACTTTGACTTTATGCTTAAAAATGAAATGGAGAATAAAGTTTGTTTATTTGATTTCGCATTTTTATTATTGTTAAGAAATATAACAAAACATTTTCTAAATATCGGCTAGCCTAGGCAATTGTCTAGACTGGATTTTTGGTGTTAACTACACAATTCATATAGGTAACATGTGTTAATTAAAAATTATATTTAATATTTGTAAAAATATAAATACAAATTTTTATTTTAAAATTTTAAATAATTCTTAAAAAATAACACATTTTGTTTTATTTAAAATGAGACCTCACCTGTCAGATTCGACGGTCTTCTATTACAATATTGTTAGTACTTATGTCATATAGTAGGCTTGATAGATAAATTTATTTTTTTCAATTATAATTGATAAATATTTAAATTTTTATTAATAAAAATCAAATAGATATAATTATTTTAATTTATATATACGATGTGAACATCAAAATATAGATCGTCAAAATATGAATAATTTAAGCTATCATAGATATAAAATGATAACAGATATAAATGCTATTGACTTTCAAAATATATTTGTAATTTAAGTTAGTCAATGGTTCAAATTTTAAAGTTCTAAATAAAGGCCAGATTTATATGGACTATTGTGAATCATTAGAAACTAACATATAGAATTACAAAGTGTTGGTAGTTGATAATGAAAATCTGGTCAAAAAATTCATTACATGGTTGTGGCTCGGCATTTTGTTGATTTTGTTTGGGTGTTGCGAAACAGTGTTTTGAACTTTTGTAATGTACCTCCTCCACATACAAGAATCATTATTGTCGTTGCATTAAATATGTGTTTCATTGATTGGGAGATCAAAACAAAATTTGTAGCATAACTGTCGACAGTGCTTCCTATAAAGATTTGTGTATCAAGAGACTTAAAGATGATTTTGCTTTAAGAAAGAAATTAAGTATTGATGGAAAAATATTTCATGTGAGGTGTTGTGCTCATATACTTAATCTTTTAGGAAAAGATGATTTGAATAACATTGGAAAAGTGGTTGCTATCGTTAGAGATGAGATTAAGTACTTGCAAAATTCAGAGTCTCGCTTCATTCAATTTGCAAAAATTGCAAAACGATTGCAATTGCCTTCTAGAAAGTTGATTTTAGAATGCACAACTAGATGGATTAGCACATATCACATGTTGGCCCCAACTTTACAGTTTAAAGATAGTTTTACGAGGTATATAATATTGACCATGGGTTTATTTATGTTCCTGATGAATACGAGTGTCCCAAGTGGAAGAAGTGTACAAATTTCTACATACCTTTTATGAAATCACTAACATGATTTCAGGATCCGACTATCCAACCTTTAATCTTTTCTTTGTGGAGCTTTATAGGATTAAAGAGCTTAAAAAAAAAAAAAATACATATGAATCTGAGCACATCAAGGCTATGGACTCGAAATTAGATAAGTATTGGGAAAAGTGTAACGTGTTGTTATCATTTGGTGCCATCCTAGATCCGAGGTATTAAATGATACTTATTAAACATGCTTTTCCGATAATTTATGGTGAAGTAAACACTATGGAAAAAGTCGTTGAAATTACTATGCTTCTTTGTGAGTTTTATAATGAATATGTTGATGTCCATATCTAGTCTTGTTGCGAAGAACCTACATAGAAGCATGCAACGCGGAAAAAGAATGAGACTGGCTCTTCTTCAGTTTAAGGAGGTGTTAAGAAACCATTTCTTTTAACTCAATTTTAATTCAACCTCACTATCATCAATATAATTAAATAATATCAATTAATCATTCATACACACCACATCAACTTTAATTCACTATTCATCCACTCACATTATTTTAACTAACTATCACATCAAATCATTTCTCTCTTACTTTTACATTAAATCAATTTTAATAATTTTATTTTATATTTAATTTTACTATACCCATTAACAATTAACCATACCACATAATTGATTGTATCGAACAATAAAAGAATCCCTTCAATTGGTATTCGCCGGTTGCAAGTTGCAATAAACCTTACTAACTAAACCAAGCCAAAAAATCTAACCAAAACTAAAAATTTCTATAAACAAACATGCTCCTAGAGTTTGTTTCACTTGTAGGGAAAAATTTATGTTTTTTCAAGCTTCTTCAACTGGCAGACCTGCAAGTTATATTAATATGGGCATTGAAACCTTTTTAATTTGTGGTACTCGATTTGGACAATATGTACTCAAATTTGGTTGTTTTTTATGTTTTGTAGTATTTATGTTAGAATGATTGGACTTAAAATTACGTTTTGGACTTTCAACTATTTTGGAATTGTGATTGAGTTATTATTTTTGCATATTTGTAATTTTCTTATTCCAGGTACATTTGTAAAACTAGAAAGAACAAAAAATATAACTTACAAGATTTTCGAGCTCCAGCTGAGCTCTTAAGAGTATTTTCTCATCAAACGAGCCGAGCTTGAGCTCAAATGTACATGTAATGAGCCGAATCGAGCTTCACATGTAGCTCGTTAAACTTATCGAGCGAGCTGGAGCCTAACTCGAACTAAGTGCAAGTATCAAGTATTCGGGCTCGCCTCGTCTACTCTATAACATAGATGCATGCAGGATGTGAATAATCGATTTTATGAACAACTTCAATCAACGCAATGTTTTTCCCTACAGATTTACAGAGCAACACTACAACAAATGCAACCCTCTGCTCTTAAAAGTAATAATAATAATAATAAAAAAATCAAATCTAGAATATAATGCATTCAATTACCACCACAAAACCTCGTCTTAAAATCAAAGGTTAATCACAAAACAAACTCTCATCAAGTTTTAATCTTAACAAAATGGTTTCACCAACCGGGAAGGACACTAGGACTAGCAACATTTCAAGCATCGTAAGGTTGTCTAAGTGAATATCTTGTTCGTTCTTGTTAGGATTAGCTTTTTAAACTTCTAACACTGTTAGGATTAACTTTTTTAAACTTCCAACACTAATGACTGATGACTACAGATCATTAACTTTCTCTAAACTTAATTTTGATGACTATAGAACACTCGTGGGTTGTGAAAAATATAGTAACAATGATTCACTATAACATCACCAGTCGAGAATAAGAAATAAAGGCTAATCATTCTCCAATCATGCTCCAAGGGGACCATTACATGGAAAAACGAAACCGTGAAGAGAGAAGCAGAAAAATGACACCGTGATGAAATGCTTCATATAGTTATTAAACTAGATATTGAACAAAAATATAAGAAAGCTTTATTGATGCTCGAGATGAGCTAGAGAAAATGAGAGACGGCGATTACAGAGAGAGAGTATTCTCAGATCAAAAAAAACAAAAGAATGAAAAAGATAATGTAAACCTAACCCTAATAAGTCTATTTATACTATAGCAAATATAACTAAAAACGTTTCTCACAAAACGTGTTTTACAAACCAAATGCTTAATACAAGCCAAA